ATTTTAATAAAAATATGATATTTTAAGTCAAATTTACCCTATCGTTAAATAGTAGTATTTGTTTGAGAGTTCTTCACAGTGTGACCAGATTCGGTATTTGAAAACGTTTTCGGTATATTTTACTGACTTCTTATTCAAAAAAAATACTGAAATATACCAACTTGCACAGGAACATGTACCCATTTTCATGTACAAGTAGGTATATTTCAGTATTTTTAGAGGTGCTTTGGTTTTTTCCTAAAATTTATTCTGGTCACACTGGTTCTTCATAACGCGCCGGGCAGGCGGCCAGTCCACACTTGCCTGTGCACGCGCGGCCGAGTTATTCCCGAAAAGCTGGATTGAGCCTGTCCCGCGCGGGACATTTAATTTTCATTTAAAAATCGGGACGTCTGGCAACTCTGAGTGGGATCCACCATCAAACCATATATGCCCGGCACTTCACTTGGCAATGCGTATTTGCTATTTGACAACCAAACATCAGCCTGTCCTCATCATCGCATAGAGATCATGATAAAAACAGACTTGTCAAGTTTACAAATAGCAAATGCGATTAGCGAAATGTGGGCAGCTAATTATAAATAGCAACTAATAAAATTGCAATAACATCGGGGTTACTATACATTAAAATAACCCAACTGGAAATGTTTATTATTAATGTTATTTTTATTCCAAAGATACGGCATATGTTTATACATATCGACTTTGTTACTCATAACTTCTTTTTCTTTTACCGCCGATATCGCACACTCGCGTAATTCGTAAGTGTAGACACAACAAGTCCTCACGCAGTGACACCTGCGGTGCGACTGAAGCATCTAAAAACGCTATTGCACCTTCCTAAATCGCGTTCTAATTAGGATACTAAATGATTTAGACCGTCAGAAGCCACACTTCTTCCGATTTAGGATGCTAATTAGGATCCTAACTTCCTAAATGCTATTTCACTTGACTGAATTAGTTACTGGTATCGATTCTGGCGTGATTCTCTAATCTTAAAACTAAATTTAATATCAGTCTCACCTTTTCATTCTGTATAGAGAATGACAAGGATACACTTTTGTCAAATTTAAGTTTAGATTTAGAGAATCATGCCAGAATCGACACCACTGAATGATTTAGAACGTCTGAATTTAGGCAGGTGGAATAAGCGCTTAACAACTTTTTAAATTAACCAAAAGAAAGGTTTAGAATAAGTATACAATGGTGTCGATTTTGGCATGAGTCTTCGAATTTAATATCAGTCTCTTAACCCGCATTAACCCGTAAAAACTAGTTTTATTTAATGAGTGATGTGCGTGAAAACCTAAGAAACAAATATCAGTCTCTTGTTTTTCATTTTGTATAGAGAATGACAAGGATGCACTGTTGTCAAATTTAAACTTAGGTTTAGAGAGTCATGCTAGAGTGGAAACCAGTAACTAGTTATTAATTGTTTAATGGTCAATTCATGATAGTGCAAATTCGAAGCCAATTTCAGAAACAGTAACATAGCAAATTCAACCTTATCCCCGCAACGTAATTACACATAAGCTATCTTCACGTCTGGACTTCACCATCACTTAACATCAGGTGGGGTGGAGTCATTTGTCGGACCTATCTAGAAAAAAAAACGACGGGTTGCACTCCGGGGGTGCCGGCAGAAGTGAAAACTTGAATATTAACGTTGTGCATTTTTGATATTTTGGAATGGTTGGGGAATAATTTTGCACGAATTTCTTTAATTATCAGTATAAAAGTACTATCATTTATGTGGTAGAATACAATATTTATTTATTGCGCTATCGTACACAAACATGACAATTTATATTACATTTAAAAGTTTATCTCTCGGAATTTCTCATTTAAGCGCACCTAGCAACATCTATTGTAAAAAAAAATACATTTTCTTCGTAATAAAGCTGCCACCTGGACGTCCTAGATATTTCGTCTAATATATTGAAAGTCAACAACCTTTCCAATTTTATTGTTTTCGTCTTTCGGTCAGGCCACGTGTCACGACGCGATCAGCCCACGTGTCCTGACGCGAGTTTATGATTTTTTACCCATACAAAAAAAAGTGCACAACGCCGCTAAAGAAGTTTTCACTTCAAAAAGAATCTTCAGAGCTGATAAACAGTGGAATTTACGGAACCGTCGTCCTCTTTTATCTCCGAAGGCATATGTACATTACATTGTGGAGATGATGGTGAATTTGGTTTGTTTCGTTTCTAAAATTCGCTTGGACACGTTTCTACTCTACGCTAGTATGAATTGGCCATAAGACTGGTAGTTATTAGAATAATCACTGTAATCTCAATCAATATGTAAACGTCTCTAGTCATCATTTCAATTTAATGTTAAACTATTTTAAGTACTTTGATTAAGATGCTGTAATTTAATTCTGTGAAAATCCTTAATAAAAATATCTGGAAAAAATATTTTCTTGCTTTTATCTCTTACACCTCCGAATTGATTTCGTTTTCGAGGCACCCATCAATCCTTTCCGAGACAGTAGTAGAGGCGATGCCGGGGTGCTTTGGTAGAAAAAACGAAATTGTATTCAATCAGTCAGATTATCAGGAAGTAAGAAAGACCTTTTTCTCAGCAGTGGGGACATTAAAAGGCTGATAATGATTAATCATTGGAAGAAAAGTTAAGCCATTGTTCTCTGCTGCATCTGTAGTTGTTAACACCCACTAACCCACTAAACTGCACCTGAGGTGTGGGTCATAGTACATTCTGGCTTTTCCATCCATATGAAAGAAAGGACTTATTTTTTCTCTTGTCAATCAATCAAAAAATGACAAGTTTGGGAGTGGGAGCTCGTGACGTCACTAAAGTATAAATGTACCAAGGCGTGACGTCATGCGACATTTCAGATCAACATATCTCTATCATGTTTAGATAATGGGATATAAATGATGATAATGAGGAGCTCGATGGCGCAAATGGTTAGCGTGGTCGTTGAAGGTTAGCAATTTTCGCAGTGGTCGGTCATTGGATGGGTGACCAAAAATTTACTATCTCGAGCTCCTCCGCGCTTCGGAAGGCACGTTAAGCCGTTGGTCCCGGCTGCATCTGCAGTCGTGAGCACCCACCAATCCGCACTGGTTCCGCGTGGTGGGTAACATAATGGCCCTATCTCCCTATTCCATCCATATGGAAGGCCTGTGCCCCACCAGTGGGGACATTAATAGGCTGACGATGAATGTTTTGATAATGTGAAAGTAGAAAAAAGCGTGTTCAATAGTTTGATAATCTACCTTTATTTATGTTTGGAATATACCTCACGCATCCTTTAACCGCTGGGGGAGCGAGAAGAAGGTATGTGGGACTCCTCCCTGCCTATTTCAGCCAGCCCTGGGGGTTGCTGAAATGAACAGGGCCACTAAAAACCAGATAATACTCCTGCACCTGTCACCAGGGGGCCATTCGCCTGACGGAAATGCTTTGGAAAACGCAAACGCTAACGCTTACGATTTCATTTTGTTATTACCGCCGAAGGTTTTCAAATAACTCACGGTCATTTTCTTTAAATATTGTTATTACCAATGCAAAAGAAAAAAAAATAGAGCGCGCAGCATTTGAAAACCTCAGGCGGCTAGAAATAACAAAATGAAATCGTAAGCGTCAGCGTTTTCCAAAACATTTCCGTTATGCGAATGGCCCCCTGGCGCGCGTTAGGAGTGCGGGTGATATGAGGTACCCTGTTTGAATGCCCGCGCAGTTTGATAATCTACCTGACAGACGAATGAAAATAAAGTTAGTCTCAATGGGTGTATTCAGTAATGTATACCAGTATACTGGCCAATGCTAATGACGTCACGAATCCGACGCCATATTGTGCTGGTTTGCTACCATATTTTTACCGGGAAAACGAATATGACGTATGACAGAGCGTGCGTGAGATGCATTCGAATTTTATTTATTTTTTATTTAACGACCAATAATAGCATCCGAACAAAAATAATTCCTTTTAATTGATGAGCTAAATAAAAAATCTTCTTTATAGCACAGTGTGACCTAAACCCGTACTTTACGCACGCTTTTCCGTGACCTAAGTTGCCTATTTCTGCACGGTGTGTAAATGAATTGACCAACTTCACTCATGTAGAATTAGTACATAACGATACGCGTAACTTAACTTTACTATGCCAATCAAGGAATAAACGTTCATGGATACATTGAAATTCTATTTTGTTGTAATGATATTTGATTTTTTCCTTTTGAAATATACTTTCAAAATGGTAATCTGAACCGAAATTCTTTCTTTTCAGAGTTTGACTTGCAGTCTGTATTGCAATTTTTTGTGATTGCAATACATGAATTTTACTTTCAAAACACTAATCGCATCCCTCGGAGGCCGGAGGCCCCCCCCCGTCTAAGGGGGGGGGGGGGGGCTCTTGCTCGCGTCCGGGGCGGGTTTATGTCACACTTGCTATAAAATAGTATACGATACTTGTGGCCTAAGTTGGCAACTTAGGTCACGCGTATCGTAATGTACTATTATTCGCACTATTTTTAATATTTCGTCGTTTTAGACGTCAGTGCACTGGCCAATATATTTCGGAACAATTCACCAGTATAGCGTCGATTCATGACGTCATTAGCACTGGCCAGTGTACTGGTATATATTACGGAATATACCCCATACCTTTGGTTGTGTAATGGCTCATTTTCTGTAAGTCATTCTGTCCACTTTAGTTCTCTTGCGTATCTCCTCATTTCTGATTCGATCACGCAGAGAAACTCCGAGCATAGCCCTCTCCATTTACCGGGAAACGCAGTGTTGGCAGGCCCCCCACAAGGTGGACCGACGATCTGGTAAAGGTCGCGGGAAGCCGCTGGATGCGGGCAGCATGGGACCGATCGTTGTGGAAATCCATGGGGGAGGCCTATGTCCAACAGTGGACGTCTTTCGGCTGAAATGATGATGATGATGATGATTCTGTCCACAGCAAAGACCTATGGCGTCAACACGAAAAGGATTTTAAGACAATGAAAATAAAACTCCCACAGCTTTCGTGTTTATGCAAAGCGCATAAAATATCATTTTATTATTGATAACCATTTACATTAATTGAACAATCATCATTCTTGTACTTACAAACAAACATATAACACTTTTTGTGTTCTCATTAGTATTACTCACATTAAAAAAACATCTAGTAACAACATATTATATTATCGTAGGGTCAGGACAGTGTAACGTAAATAATATATCTGTTTAGTCTTTATTTTTTAATGGCTCAACGGGGATTTTTCCACAATTCTGCCAAATTCACGTAGTTAGCCATTAGACGACAAGGATTCTTAGGTCGCGGCACACGGGCCACCGACCACAACCACAAAACGACGTCACCGGCATATTTCTTGTAGTTTTCATACATTTTATATGGACTCGCCACACACGGTACGCCGCTGGCCGCCACACGCTATAAATCGTCGTTGCTCGCTTCTTGTGGCCCGCACCGGTCACTTAAGTTCTAAGTACCTTATTGAGAACTTTACTCAGCAGTTGTGAAACAGGCGCTAAGTGTCGCCGCACACGGGCCACGCGCCACGACACTAACGCCGCCACGAGAAGCTAGAAGCGGCTACTAAAGCGGCTGAAGCGCGCGACAGCGGCCGACTAAGGCAAGGGAGAGAGGGGTGGGGAATGGCGCGAGTGACGTGTGGCGGCAATTTGTATCGGAGCGTTAACTGTTCAGTAAACAAATAGGGATGCTGACGTTGACGTTGACGGTGCATTTTTGCTTGCTTTTTAACCATTCTCCAAAAAAAAAAATCAACATCCCTGTTCTTTACTGAGCAGATTAGCTTACTTAGAACTTTACTCAGCGATTGTGAAACAATTTAATATAATTAATTTTGAAACATGAAGTTAAAAATGCTATTTCAGATTTGTCACTTCCTTTGTTCATTTAAAAGCTGTGACAGGAGTATCTCTGTATTATATCCCGCCATTTGACGACAGTTGCTTAAGATGGCGGCATATGAACCATTTTTTATTTTTTTTAAGATTCTCCCTTTTTAGGGAAGGCAAAGGAAACAATGCCCATACAGCCTAGTTTTAAGTTATTTTTTTTACATTAGAATGTCGGTGTGACGCCTTTTAATGTCTCTTGGAGTGTTTGGCACGAGATGTACCGAGTTGGCTTTTTCGATGCATATGAATCTAATGAAACACGTCAAGACAGATCAAAGATAAGTAAGGAAAGGGCAGAAATATTGCTTATGTTACACTCTGTCACTTGTTACACTCGACCCCACCATTGACATCGTGTCAAAAGATACAATTGCCCCACGAATATAGAGTTAATTGTTATAATAATTGAGGAGCTGGCGAACAATACGGTATAATTACTTAAATTAAATTTTACAGGAGCTGTATAAAACTGAATGACAAAACCTACAGTGAGCTTTTGGCATGGTTTTAAATTTATGAATTTAGTAATTTCAACACTGTTTTATGTGGTTTTGATTGAAAATTATTTGAGATTCAAATTCAGCTGGCCTGAAACCTCCGGACTGTAAAAAAAATTAGTTTGACCAGATGTGTAATTATAAAGCTTTGTTCGCCAGCTCCTCAATTATAAAGACTATATCCATTTCGGATTGTAGCCATTTGACGAGGTGTCAATTGTATTTCTCGACGAAGAGTCTGTGCGGAAAGAGAATGGGATTATGATTGGAAGGCGCTGTAGTGCTTTTCTACCGTATTTGTAAGGTTTTACCCCTTTCAGACATGATTTAATACAAAAAACCGCAAGAAATCACAACAACAAACAAATCCGTGACAATACAAAACTTTGACGTTTTACAGATTGCTGGGTTTGATTGCCAAATAAAAATCTTAATGTTAGTTCCGTTTTTCGCCACGCCCATTCTCTTTCCGCACAGACTCTAATCATATTTAAATTCTTTTAGACTGCGCACTCGTTACAATAGTGTGCAATTTGCTATAACATCGTCCAATGCCAAAACGATAATATATTGATTTTTTACTGTCGCACTCAAATTCGTATGAAATTTAATGTACTTCTTCATCTTTAAATTTTGCATTATATTTATTGTTTATTTCGATTACAATAAAGAGTATTTTCATTTTTACATCGCTTTAAATTCATTTAATACCCGCCAATCAACATATATACCTACATCACAAATAAAATTTGTTATTAAAGTACATAAATTTATGTTTAAAGTGTCACACGTAACGGTTGATTTGTGATAGCAGTAATTTGTAATAAAAAAATTCTTCAGATCTTAAGTAATTCTTGTTTGGGTATTCAGCTGTGTTGTCCATATGTCGAACCATTTTAACCTAGTCTGTACCAGTTTATCCTATCACCTAAAGGATGCACTGGGGGTCTACTCTCTTTCTTCGGAACGAACTTTCGAATAACGAAATAGGGTATTTGACAGTATTAAAAATAAAGTGCCAATTGTTAGCATCTGCATTTAGAATGAATATAGGCAGGGGTTTTTACTATTTTTCTAAAAAAAAATTATAATTTTACTAAAAACCCACGAAAAAGATAATAGTTTTCTTATCTATTGTCACGTGACCCAAAACGCTTGGGATTGGCGGAGCCTAAAATGACGTCACACGCTAGTAAACTTCACACGCCAGTGAGGCGCCATATTGTCCAGAGATACGTTTTTCGCGGCAACTTGAAAATAGAGTTTTTGATTTGGTTTTTTTACCAAAATACACAACATAATTATGAATATCCACTTTTTATGGACTCTATAAACATTAGTAAATAACGTGAGATCGTTTTCTAAAACTTTTCAAATACCCTATTGAAGCTTTCTTTGAGTAGGCTTAAAAAATCTACATCTCAATCTATATTCCGACGATGAATATTATTATAATTAAAAACGAAAAGTGCGAAGTTTCGATCGAATTTGGTTTTTCGTTGAATTAGAGTAGGCCTCCTGGTTCGAAGTAGGGGAAAAACTAGTTTGTCCTAAAACTGGGTTTAGCTGGCAACATAGGTATACACTATTATTTAAAAAATTCAGATATATATTTTAAAGCTAATATGTTTTCATACAGCAAAGCGGTTGAAGAGATATATAAGTACCTTATTTATTATTGTCATTTCTATAATATGTTATGTCGTCTCTAATAATATTTAAAATAAAATCCGACAACTCAATTATTTAGTTTCAAACTAGAGAAGCATATTAAATAAATAAATGAAATGGCAATAAAAACTACAGTCACATAAATACAATTATTTTTAGCTTAAAAAATTATTATTACATAAACATTTCTCACTGGGCTAAAAAAAGTACACTAAAAATGACTCTAAAAAAATCTCATTTGATATAACACTAAACATATATAAATGCCTAATATTCTACAGCTAATGATATAAAATAAAAGTTATCCTTTTACAGGCGAAGGTTAAGCAACTAAGTGTCAGTATGTAAGCTTTTTCGTTGCTTAGAAATAAATAACTTATTTTTTATAATATTATAGCTATTAACGGGATTGTTACCATGTACCTTGTTTTTTTTGAGTCTGAATAGTGAGAATGTGACCAATGGTAGGGGTATCGAGCGTAGTAAAAGACGACGTCAGAGTGTAGACCGCTATGTCTGCCAATAACATCTACCCGCAATTACTTCAGTTACTCCGTGATCATGGCGCTTGCAACAGTGCCGAAATATCGAAGACGCATAAAAAACAAGGTACATGGTAACAATCCCGTTAATAGCTATAATGTTAGTGACCATGAAAGTTTAAAACAATATAACTTATTTATAATGTTTTATTTAATAGAGAGATATAAGATTCAATGGCAGCATGCTCTCGCTCTGAATACATACAAAGAAAAAAGATTTCTTTTTTATAACTAACAATACAAGCCCGGGGTTGATTCTTATTTCTTATGAAATAAGGTTGACAATTCAGTGTTAAGTTAAGAAAATAAACGTTTCTGAATTTACCCTCTTTTCTCAAAGGAGATGCATTAAATTGTGTATTATAAAATGCAGCCTTATGCCAGGTTTAAATAGAGTATATATTTGCAGAGGCAAGCAATTTTCGCGGCAAATAATAATAATATCACATTAACATTAGAGAGATTAAAAAAATCAAGTCCTAATCTTTGATCATATACACGCATAGATACCGTATTAGTAATCTATATATATAAAACTCAAAGGTGACTGACTGACATAGTGATCTATAAACGCACAGCCCAAACCACTGGACGGATCGGGCTGATATTTGGCATGCAGGTAGATGTTATGACGTAGGCATCTGCTAAGAAAGGATTTTGATCAATTCTACCCCCAAGGGGATAAAATAGGGAATGAAAGTTTGTATGAAACTTTGTCAATTTTAAACCGATCGGGCTAAGACTTTGCATGCAGGTATAAGAAGAATCATAGATGAATGTCATTGTGTGTATAATACAAGCCTGAGAATAAAAACTGTAGTCTACACTTCAGCTCTACACCGAAAGCGAAGCGAGGGCGGGCCGCTAGTTAATGTATAAATCATGGAGGTTAGAGAGAAGGAGAACCATCGCTACGTACTAAAGTAGCAGGCGGGCTGTCTGTCCCTGAAAATTTGTAGAACTTATAGTTCATTTTTCAGCCACCAGCCGCGCTACCGTCGGTAAGTAGTATCTGTGAAGTTAGCTGTTTACGAGTACAAGTACATGAAGTTAGTTGAATATTGTACAAATTTACTTCGAAGCATTGTTCATTTCAAATTAGCCCGCTTTTATTGAGACAACTTAGCGATCGCAAGCGCCTCACTTATTTTGTCCATATTTATGGGACACTGTTTTCTACAGCGATCGTTCTCCTACTCTCTAACCTCCATGGTATAAATATTCAGTGATTACTTATTTTGACAGTTGCTGTCACAGTAGACACGTGAGGGCTTAACAGCGAGATGTAATCTGCTTCATGAATGAGAGTGAAAGAGACAACTTTGATGAAAGGGAGCTCGGGGCGGTGACTATTTGTGCCATTTTAAAATGCAATAATGTTGGCGTAACTACACGAAGGCATCCCACGAAATATCTACTTAAAAAAATGGTAGATAAGCTTATCGCTACACACGCCCCCCACGACAACGGCTAACTAGAGCCGAGCTCCGAGTCTCAGAGACGCCCTCTAGTTGAGCCGACCCCCTCAGGTTCGAGTGGTCTGGAGGCTCCAGAAGGAGTGGAGACTCCCCCCGTGGGGAGACGCCATCCGCCTGGAATACCTCCAGAGGCACTCGCCAATTCTCGGCTTGAGGTCCCCTTAGGATCTCGCCGTCCCCAAACCCGGTGACGCTGTAAAGATCATCTGCGACCAACAGCATACACACTCAAAAAAAAAGCTACACGCGCACACATTGACTGCTCTCAAACAATCTGATATTAAGCCGTTTTCTAGGCGTGTGTATAATCAAAGGTTCTAATCAACAAACAATATTGTTTGTAATTATTAATTAATAAACGAATATGAGATGTTAATAACTAGCTCTAGGAACTATAAACACCCAGATTCGACACAAATAATAACGAACACAAAAGAATTACTAGAATTAAGTACTACGCCTGTAAGGTTAAGTTGTAAATATTGGGTAGTGGCAGTAGGCATTGAAAAATCGATCTTATTCTATTGACTATACGTTTCAAAATAAGCACATTTCAATTTTCTGCATTGTTTATGCTGTCAAATAAGGGATATTGCGTAATGATTTAAACGATTAATATATACTGGGGCAATTACATATACATATATGCTGTATTTGATGATTTGGTAAATCGAATTTTGGTGAAAATCGTAGGTATTTTGCGAAAACGCGGATAATAAGCCAATGATGATAACCTTGATCAATTTAACTGTTAACGAATTTTTGAAGTGAAACTTCTTTAGGCACGCTTGACTTGCGGGATAAACTGGCGAATGCGTTACGCGTTACGAAAAGTGTCACCGGTGACCTATCGGTAAACAATGAACAATTTAGGCACGCAAGACTTGACTTGGGGGGGGGGGGGGGGGGTAAACTGGCGAATGCGTTACGAGTTACAAAAAGTGTCACCGGTCACACATATATATATTACAGATGGAGCTAAAGAAGTTTCACTTCAGTCGTGTGGTCATAAGTTCACTCGCTTTTTTTCTAGAAATTAATCATATTCATGGATCTTTTTTTCTGGGTCGCTTCGCCCGCCACTGCCGCGGCACGCTCGCTACGCTCGCTCGGTTCGCGCGTCATGGTCACAAAACTAATCTTATCATGTGTGAACTTGACAGCCCAAAAATTCAAGAATATTTATAATAAACCGAGGATACTTTTCGCAATCTTCAATTCTTTTTTTCAAAATTCGATTGATCAAATCACCCTACGACATATATATACATATAAATTTACAGCTCAACAATAGTATTGAATGTTACATAACTCATTATTAAGATTTTATATTATTTAATTTGCCGATTATAATCTAATTCCTTGCATAATTTTCTTTTTTGGACAAATTGTATAACATTATAACTAGATTTATCTGCACCGCGATATTCTTGTTAGCTATAGTTAAAGCATAGTCTAATATAAGCTTTAATTATATAGATTTTTGTAATGGTCGCAAAAAAGCATATGACCTGCCTAATGGTAAACGGCCACCATAGCCTTGCGATACCAAAGTATCTATCACTCGCGCGTTGTTTTCACCTAAATCGGTTCAGCATATTTATTTATTTAAGGACGACCAACAAGATATACACCAATACAAGATAACAAGGTACAAGCATCGGCGTTAATTAGATGATTTAATTAAGATAATTAAAGGTCACCACCGCATGCATTACAAAACAAGGCATTGAACATTATTCTGTATAATCTTAAGTGAAAAAAACCAATTGAATTGAAAAATATCTATACTAATGTCCTGTTTTGAAATTATGTCAATCTAAAAATGACGTTATATTATCATATCACAAAATTTCAAAATATTATTGTAGGAATACAAATAGGCTAGTTGACCCTTTTTGGAAAAAGGTTTTAAATGGTTAATAAATGTAGTATTAGACCGAAAAAAATTGTTTTGTATTTTTTTGAGACCTAGAAAGCTACAAATCTTTAATATTAAAATAGAATTTTCATGGACATACAAAAACGCTGTCGGCCATTTTAGTCTATAAATTGTCTATGCTATGATGTCAACAGTAGTAAACAAAAACCCGTAAGCACGTAGAAAATAACTTATCCGAGTTTATAATAAAAAGAACATGATTTCTAATAAATATCACGAAAAATAAAGTAATCATTATTGTATTGTACGAGAATATAAAACCACATCCTTGAAGACTCCAGGAATGTTGTGGATTAAAGTGCCGAAAGAAATTAACCTACGCAACTTTATTACACTTATTCATATGTTGTATCAGTTTTATGTTTATTACTACATTGTAATACTAAATGCACTGTACTTACATAGATGCCTTGTCGTTTCTCTGCTCCGCAGAGCAGAAATCGGGGTTTAGTGCAAAAAATTCAGATTTGTGCTTTCTGCTTTCACAAAGCAGGCATCCATAATTAGTTTTGTCAAAAAAAAACAGTAAACGGAAACTTTTCTAAAGGTAAAAGTGTTTTAAGATATATTTATTCAGACTAAAGAATCCACCCACAATAACACGCGAATGACATTTAGTTGTTTACTGAAAGAGACGTCAAAATCATGGCGGATGTGGCGAACAGCGTTTTTAGTGTTTAAAAAATATAGACTAAAAAATATTTTTTAAAATTAAATTTCTACAGCAATCTTCTGCTTTTATGAAGTAAAATCGATATATTTAGGTTCCTTAGACCAAATACTGTAAGAAATAAACATTTATTTAGTACAATTCGACATGAGTCAACTAGCCTATTACAACATTACAAATGTGGATACGAAAACTGAACATTCAGTAAGGACAATAATATGGCCCGCCTAGCGGCCACCATACTGTAATAAAGGCGCATTTACATTTGGTCGCTAGCCGGTATTCGGATGCACGAAAGACATAACTCGAATAGGGATGATGACCATTTTTTTTCTACGTTTATCAGGTAGATTATCAAAAAGTATTGGACACGTATTTTTTCTTTTTTCACACAATAGAAACATTGCAGAGATATATTGATTTGAAAAGTCGCATGACGTCACGTTTTGGTACACTTTTAAGTGAAAATTCACTAAGAAGTGACGTCACGAGCCCCTACTCCCAAACTTTGACGAGCTATAACTTTGTCATTTTTTGGTTGATTGCCCAAAGAAAATATACGTGTCCATTATTTTCTGATCATCTAACTGACGGACTAAATAGAATTTCGTTTACTGTACCCCGTCATCACCCCTATTCGGGCAAGCAATATTTACATTGTTTTTACTCGAACACGGGCTGGAAGACGGTGTCGGGTAATCAAAACGAAATCTGCCCGAAAACGGGCGTACTCGACTTCGTTCATTTATACTTAGTCGTTTGGCAAACGTATTCGGTCTAACGTCCGAGTGTAATTGCCCCATAAGCCACAATTTTAAGATGCTACATAATTCAAAGAAAAACCTACCTTATCAGACCAAGTCCTAGGATCCTTTAATCTATACGACTTCATCGTACAAAGAACTCGCAATTTTCAACATCAAAACTCTTTTCCATTAGTATTAAACACAATATCCCTTATAACAAAATTTAATATTTCACAACAACTACAATATTCTTTCAGCAAATATTATTAAGAGCCCTTTCACATTTTTTGCAAATAATTGTAATTTTTGAGCGCCTCGTTTACCCCCTTAGAAAAGATTTTGACCATTTTCAAAAGTAAACGGTAGATTTATTCTTCCTATTGTAAGTTAATGTAGAATATTTGCAAATACTATTTTCCTTTTCTTGTACTGACCGTTCTACTGCAGGTAGTTCACGGAAAAAACGATAATATGCACAACTTCAAACGCCTCAATATCTCAATAATGTCCAATAAATTAGATCAAATTAATTACTACGACATCAGAAATATGTTTTTGTTGCAACGTTATGTATTACAATTTTGCTTTTCTATCTCATTAATTATCAAAACAAGAAATCTAACCTCCGTGAGTTTTCTCAAAAAATAATGCAGGTATACCTCGTATTTTGATATTGAATTAAGTAGAATTACTATCAAAAACTTTCATAAAACTAATCTACCATCATTGAACTACTGAAATATGTATAAATTTTTATAATCAGTTCATTAATAATTATTTTATAAGACTCGAAACATCACCCGTAAAATCAATATTGTATACTAGTGCAAATCTACCTACGCGCCGATTAGTACGGCAGCGGCGCAATTTTGTAAAAGGGCTCTTAATGTTATTCTTTATACAAACGATAATATATATATTCTCTTACATTGGCAGTAAGACACAACTTTTACTAAATATCAATATTTCACTATATAAATTCTCGATTATCAACTCTGTTGTGTTGCAATAAGACTCGTATTGGCGTACTCACTTAGTGTTTTAGCAGTTTCTCCTGTTCTTCTAAACGGGCGGGGTATAAGTCGCCGTTTCTGTGGTCTGGCGATGCACGGGCTACGAAAGAAGCGCGCGTGTGAGGCGAAGCCGATACTGGCAGTGGGTTTGGCGAAACCTGGCCGTAATACAAGGGAATAAGGCTCATTATACTGTGAACATAGTATCTATACATATAAAAAAAACCCACACACACACCAATTAGCCTAGCCCCAAAGTAAGCACTAAAAGGCTTGTGTTATGGGATGCTAGGGTAACGGATAGAATACTTAAACTGTACATATATAAGTATATTTATATAGAAATAGATATTAAACATCCATGCCTGGAGTACAAATGCTCGTGTTCATCACACAAACATCTGTCCCCACCGGGATTCGAACCCGGGACCTGTCGTGTCAGCGACACCATGAAACCCGGCGTACAAACCACTCGGCCACGGAGGTCGTCATAATAAAATGGTAGGAAAGTCAAAACTGTACATTGAATATTTTTTTAAGAGAATACTTGGGGTGTGATCTACAATCGATTGATATTATAAGGAAATAAGACTCATTTTACTGAGGAAAAACTTAGCTTTTTAGAGTGATATATCTATGTATTATCATCATCAGCCTATTTATGTCCCCACTGCTGGGGCACAGACCTTCCCTATGGATGGAATAGGGAGATTGGGCCATGACCCACCACGCGAGCCCAGTGCGGATTGGCGGGTGCTAACGACTGCAGATGCAGCCGCAGCCGGGACCAACGGCTTAACGTGCCTTGAGAAGCACGGAGGAACTCGAGATAGAAGATTTGTGGTCACCCATCCAATGACCGACCATTGCGAAAGTTTCTTAACTTCAACGATCGAAGCCAAATGCGCTAACCACTTGTGCCATCGAGCTCCTCCTAAAGAAATATATTTTTGTAGAAATATAATATAAATAGCCATGGCTCAGGTATACATTGTGCTGTTTATCATACTAACATTCTTTAGACATTCACAAATGCTTGTAACAGCCTAAACTGAATAAACGGTATTATATTTTTATTTGTTAAGCATTTAGCCTAAGAAATACTAGAGAAAATTCGACACGGCCGTTAAGGCCGCGGTAGCATAATGGTCAGTGCATCCGCCCATATAGTGGAGGGTGTGGGTTCGAGTCCCGTCTGCTGCCTGGTCCGCGTGAATTTTTTTCTAGTGATATTTTCAAATAGTTATATGGCTACGAAATTCTGTAACTACTTAAAGACACTCAGGTGTACTTTGCAGCAATTTTGCTTTATCTCAATTTAACTGGAACTAGATTTGGCCCATATAATAATATCAAATTGATATTGACGTTTTTAATTTTCCTATGGCTTAAAGCTCGGTTTAGTTGAATCGAGATTTAGCTAATTCCCTGCAAGTGGGCCTGTAAATATAATAGTTTACCTGTCGAGAAGGAGTTTTGTGCTCTCCAGTAAGGCTCAAGTCCTCGTCCACTGATTCTAATAGCTGTGAACAAAAAGCAGAGTCAGCAATGATTATTATAGTCTTTATTTTAATAGACATAAGGAAAGAAAGAGGAAAATGAGAAATAATAATATAGTCTTTATTCTAATGGGCATAAGGTAAGAAAATGAGAGGCTGAAATTTTATCGTTTTCTACAACACAAACTTAAAAACTATACAGCTTAACCTACTTACACCTACATAAATAAATAATTTACTAAATAAAAAAAAATATCACCCCCCGCGCCGCCCTCAGGAATGGTTTTTTTGAGTTTGTATGCTGTTGGTCGCAGATGACCTTTACAGCGTCACCGGGTTTGGGGACGGCGAGATCCTAAGGGGACCTCAAGCCGAGAATTGGCGAGTGCCTCTGGAGGTATTCCAGTCGGATGGCGTCTCCCCACGGGGGGAGTTTCCTCTCCGTCTGAAGCCTCCAGACCACTCGAACCTGAAGGGGCCAGGAATGGTGCCCAATAGGCTGGCAGCATTGTCACGTTGGATGGCAAGGCTGATCTGTTGACCGAGATAGCTGCCAGCCTTTTGATCACCAGTCACTTCGGTGAGCCTCTTTGACAATTCCTATTACTTGTATATTTGTTTTTTTCGCATAGTAAATTGTATATAGGGATCGTGTTGGAAAGGGAGAGCATATGTGCCACTTTAGAAACATTATTTTAGATTATTTAGATTTTGTTCTTTTTGAATATCTTAAATCAAAATTAAAATAAAAAATCATTTATTCAGTCTAGGCTGTTACAAGCACTTGTGAAGGTCAAGAAGCTACGCCATTGGTTCCCAAAACTACAGCGGGAGAACTTGTACTGAGAAGAGCCGGCAAGAAACTCAGCAAGGGCTGTTTTTTTCTCCCTGTATTGTTATATACAGAGTCGTCAAAGTGAAATAGGGATGATGACTATTGTTTTTTCTTCGTTTATCAGGTAGATTATCAAAAAGTATTGGACACGTATTTTTTCTTTTTTCACATAATATAAACATTGCAGAGATATATTGATTTGAAAAGTCGCATGACGTCACGTTTGAGTACACTTATAAGTGAAAATTCACTAAAAAGTGACGTCACGAGCCCCTACTCCCAAACTTTGACGCGCTATAACTTTGTCATTTTTTGGTTGATTGCCCAAAGAAAAAATACGTGTCCATTATTTTTTGATCATCTAACTGACGGACTAAATAGAATTTCGTTTACGGTATCCCGTCATCACCCCTATTATTTCAGAGATAATTGATTTGTGTTTAAGATTATAATTGGTACTTGGTATATATAGCCTTGCTATTCAGCGTGAAAACGTGGCAATGCGGGTCGTTACTAGGATTGGGCGTTTTTAGAATAACGATGCGCGACAACGATGCCAGGTTTGGATGCGCGCATCCGATGCAACTGGATACCGTTATTGGATGCCGATGCCATCTAGTTTTTGTCCACGTTACTATAGCAACAGTGCCACAAACTTAATTGTGCCGGTGAAGATGTCGCTAGCGGTGAACAAATATATCATAAAAATGTCACACGCTATGGATAAATTGTATTTCCAATTTTTGCCACCGGCACTGAAAAGTTTGAGATACTACGATACTGACATTCACTTGGCATCGATGCGATGTCGGCATCGGTGCGCGGATCCGATGCGATTTATCTGATACCGATGCCCATCGATTTTACAAATATCTAAAAACGCACACTCTAGTCGTTACGTTTCCTAAAATATGGTTGAGCGCAGTGATGGCTTTTCTTTTTACAATTTTACGAATGAAAAGTATTGCCGAGGCATTTGTTATTTGACTTTGAACTATATGTGTTCTCTTGATAAAAGCATCGCAGTCATTGTTTTATCGTTATAACAAAGAATATACGCAATATTGTTATATTGAGTGCACATGCAGCGTGTTTGAATGTCCAATTGTGACTACAGCGAATTATGGTCATGCACCACAATTTAAGCGGATCACTTTTGAGCCGCGAGTGCCGTATCTTCCCTTTTTGTTTTAATCTAAGCTTTTAAACGTTCTTACGCTTACACTGTATGTATACAAGTAGGTATACAATTATATTATTTAATTCCAATATTTTGTATATCTCACAAATTCCACACAACGTACTACAAGTACCTATTATAAGGTTTTGTATACTACAAGTACCTATTATACTTGGCGTGAAGAAAAAAATAAGATATACTTGTAAAAAACAGGTTGTACAGTTGACAAAAAAACCTCAAGTCTGATCTTTCCTCTCCAGAATCCTCAGGATCTTCGCCAGCTGGGAGAGCATTAGCCTGTCGACATCCGATCTTCTGTCTCGCTCTTGCCTTGCCCCAGATTCGTATTCAATCGATTTGCCTACGTATTCATTCCCGTCTTCGATGGTACATCGAGAATTGAACTCTGAATCGAATTTTATATCGTTTAGAACGTCAATAAACCTGATATTCGCTGTAGAGTTCGGGTAAAAGAAATATATTACTAAAAATGCTGAGAAACGTCAAGCTTCCAATAAAATGGGGTCCTTTAAGAGAGGCGTGAATAAGCATTTTTGGAGGCCGGCAAGGTGAGGATGGTTGGTGTGGCAGTTTATAACTGCTGTACCATTTGGACTTTATCACCACTTAACATCAGGTGGGGTAGATTCATTTGCCTACCTCGCTATAAATATTTATATATATGTATATATAAATATTTCCAACAATCACACCAATTAGCCTAGCCCCAAAGTAAGCACTGTAAAACTTGTGTTATGGGATACTAGGGCAACCGATAGAATATATATAAGTAGATATATACAGAAATACATAATAAACATCCATGACTAGAGCACGAATGCTTGTATTCATCACACAAACATTTGTCTGTCTTCTGTAAGATGGACTTCACCAGACAGGCGGACCTAAAAGAACTATGCATTTTAAAAGCCGCGCTCAAAGAAGTCAACTTTCAAGTTTCATCATCATCATCAGCCTATTAATATCCCCACTGCTGGGGCATAGGCCTTCCCTATGGATGGAATAAGGAAATCAGGCCATGAATCACAAAGCGGGCCCAGCGCGGATTGGCGGGTGCTAACGACTGCAGATGCAGCCGGGACCGACGGCTTAACGTGCCTTCCGAAGCACGGAGGAACTCGAGATAGAACATTTTTGGTCACCCATCCAATGGCTGACCACTGCGAAAGTTGCTTAACTTCAACGATCGCAGCCTAACGCGGTAACCACCCACACCATCGAGCTCCTCTTTTACGTCTAACTAAAGTTATTTGTGTAATTTTCTTTGGAATAACAATTGCATTGCAAGGACTTAATGATGCATTCAATTTGACGTTTCTGAGTACATCGTTTAAAGTGTTACGAAACGATTCTAGAGGAAAATCCGCTATTACACAAACTATGATTATTTAGAAAAAAAGTGAGCCGTCACGGGACGCCTGGCAGATGTGAAACACTAGCCGGCTTACGATAAATACACTCGGAGAATTGCTCGGGATGCGTGCGGTAAAAAATGACATAGGTCTTGCCTCGAAGGGCGCTGGCGCCGTACTGATCGACGATTAGTTGAGCACTGGTATATACTTCATTTTACGGGCAAGCGTCGCCACGCCAGAAATCGGTTTTACGTCTTAGATTAAAACAAAAAGGGAAGATACGGCACTAGCCCCATAAAAGTGATCCGCATGAATTGTGGTCCACGACCCTAATCGCTTTAGTCACAACTTGACATGCAAACGACGTACATGAGAACGCCAAAAAGAAATATTGCTAATATTTTGTGTTTATATGATAAAACAATGCCGAAGTGTGTTTTTAAAAAGTGCTCAAATTGCTCAAGAACTAAAAATAAAACCCACGGCATCACTTTTCATTCGTAAGTACTATAAAATATATTTTTTCATAATAATTGCTGTTTGTTTTGAATCTTATTCGGTAGTGACGTCGAGTACTGGTCGCGTGATTGGTCGGTAGTGCAGTGACGCGGATCTCGCCGTCTCGTTCGCGCTGCCGTTGAAACTTAACGTGCTGTTTCGTTCGGGTCGGTAATGCAGTGACGCGGATCTCGCCGTCCCGTTCGCGCTGCCGTGGGATCAGTTTTTGTTTGATGCAAGTATGAGCGTACCGTATCTACCCTTTTTGTTTTAATCTAAGTTTTACGTGCGCCAAAAGATGTTTCACATTAATACCTATAAAAGTCATTACCTCTAACATTTTCCGAAGAACTGCCGTCAATGACATCATGATTTGGTGTAAAATCGTAAAAAGTCAACAGCGACGAGTCTTTGTGAAAAGTCGTCTTCTTCTTAACGTGGTCCGAATCTGCCGAGCCAATTTGAACCTTAAATCTATTGGCTTAAACCAGCAAAGTGTAGTAACCAGCGATTTTACAATTTCGGACTTTCTGTCATGTATAGGTGCCGAGATTTAAAACTAGATCGAGTATAAATCCATTGTTTTCTCCATACAACTCTGCCCAATCTTTTACCTCAAGTATTAACATCCATTTACGTGTAGAAAAATATGCAGAGTTCGTCAAAAATAAAAATGGAATTTATAATCCACTTGTGCCACATAAAAATGTAGCTCATTGGGTTGTCTGGAAGAAATCGCTCATTAGCGATAAGACCGCCCTTTGTGCAATGTTTTATTTTTCTACTTGCTTTGAATTTGCTTGTTTTGGTACTGTGTTGTGCAATAAAGAGTTTTTATCTTATGTTAATGTAGTTTAAACATTTAAATTTATACTAAACTAAGATATATAGACTAAGATAAATAAGGATTAAAATAAAACTTTAACCGACTAACCATTCCTATTTAAACTAAGATAAATAAGGATTAAAATAAAACTTTAACCGACTAACCATTCCTATCGGCCATTTTATTAGCACTATTGGCCATCCAATAGTTGTTCATAACGCACTCGTCGCAAACTTCACTATCGTACTCTGCTCGCTTCAACTTCCCACCAAACGAGTAGAGATCTTTACACGATTCTGAGCCTTCTTG